GCCTGGGATTTAAATATCCCGGGCTTTATTTGCATCTTCCCGTCCGGGCATCATTTTTAAATCCCCCTAGTCCGAACGAACTGCCCGTGGCTACATGCGACAGTCAAACGTTAACTCGAACTAAGTCCTTAGTTCGAGTTAACTGTTAACATTGTGGAATGAAGTGAAAACCTATGGGGGGGGGCCCTAAGCAGGAATACTAATAATTAACAGGGGGGTGCCATGTGCTGCTCCGGGCCCTAAGCAATTGTTTAGCATGCATATGCCTAGCGCAGGCTCTGGTCTGACGTGACCTGTACCTGCAGGAAAACTCCAAGGGCTGCTTCACCCTACCATTGTCCCATCCAAAGGGCAATGACAGAGACCCACTAAACAAGCCAAAGGTGACACAGGGGTCTGCAGAAGCAATACAACGTGGGTACATCTACACTGAAAAAAAATAAATCACCTGCCGCAGCAAGTCTCAGCAACTGGGTCGAGCCAACTTGGGCTTAAAAAAAAATAGCCAGGTAGACGTCTGGCCTTGGGCTGATGCCCGGGCTCTGACACGCAGCAAACAGGGCAGGTTTCAGAGCCCAGGCGCCAGCCTGGTGCCCACATTGCTATATTTAGCCCAGCAGCATGAGATCCCGTCAGTTGCCCTGGGCTCAGACTCTTGGCCATTGGATGGGGTTTTCTGGTTGGAGCATTTTGCAGGGTAGATGCACCTGGCACCACACAAAGCAGATGGAGCACCCATGCTCACAATGCGGCTGTCCTGGGACCCTCTGGAAATGAGCAGCCGTTAGGGGAAGGAGGGATGGCACACCCCTTTAAGGAACTCAGCAAATCTCTCCCCCTCCTCGCCCCCCCAACACTCCTCCTCATTCAGGGATCTGCAGGAGTCCGGAGAAGCCAGGTGGGGTTGGTGGATCTGCGGAGATAACAGGTTAGAGTCCTGTGTGGATACAAAATTGGTATCCGCATCTGCAAAAATAAGCCACGGGTGCAGATCCCCGTGGCTACAAAGCAGATATCTGTTAATTTGCAGGGTTCTCGATACAAACTTTGTATCCGCTTGCACAAAAATGAGCCACGGACACCCGCATCCACAGATACCCACGGCTCTCAAGTGGCTATCCACAGGGTTCCAGCAACGGGATCGGAGAACCACAGCCAAGAGTCAGCAACTTTTCTCCCTCCCAGAAGCGGTGCCTCTAGAAGTCTCCATTCTGGGAGAGCTGCGAGCAACCCAACGCCACTCCCCAAAGAGCTGTGCGCTAATGTAACCAAGACAATGTGCTGGAGAGTGAGATGGTGAACCAATGCCCGGTCTCATACAGAGCACACCAACGGCGCTGCCGTCTGCCTGGCAGAACGAGCCCTCAACCCCCCAGGGTCTGAATACAAAGCCTAATCCTGCACAGAGCTGTTCACACGCCATAGCTGCAGAGGGGTGGACTGGCAGCAGGGTTTTTCCCCTCAGCAGTAACTCAGGATTGCCCCCCCATTAAAGTGACCCCTAACCTCTATCAGCACTTACACCCAGAGATCTCCAAGCACTTCACAAAGTAACCCTGTCCGGGGCAAAGTACCATTTCGACTGCTGTCTGACCAGAACTTGGCAAATGGGAGCCACGAATGCCATCAGGACCCCTGTGTGCGGTGCCATAAGCACCCCCATTTTATGACTAGGAACGGGAGGCAGAGAGTAGCGGAATGAGCCGACAAGTTCCACACCAGTATACCGCGCAGCTGAGACAGGTTAAGTCTGCAGGCAAATAGGCATTCACATGCCCCAAACTTTGCACCATTTTCCAAAGGATGACAGAAGTCCCCTCCTTCGCATGAGTGCATGGAAAGCAGAGAGAACAGCCAATTACTTTTCAACTGCATCCCAGGGCAATCTAACTTGCTAAGGACAGAACGACTCTAAGGCTATGTCTACACTGGCGCGATCTCACGCCAGAAATATGCAAATGAGGCTAAGCGTGGAATATCGCCAAGCCTCATTTGCATATCTAACGAGCCACCATTTTTGGCAGAAGAGGCTCCGGAATGAGCCGACAAGTTCCACACCAGTATACCGCGCAGCTGAGACAGGTTAAGTCTGCAGGCAAATAGGCATTCACATGCCCCAAACTTTGCACCATTTTCCAAAGGATGACAGAAGTCCCCTCCTTCGCATGAGTGCATGGAAAGCAGAGAGAACAGCCAATTACTTTTCAACTGCATCCCAGGGCAATCTAACTTGCTAAGGACAGAACGACTCTAAGGCTATGTCTAAACTGCAACACTATTTCGGGATACCGGAGTATCCCAAAATAGCTATCCCCGTGTCTTCACAGCTAGCCCATTATTTCAGGCTTGCTATTCCGATGTCCCTGTACACCTGATTCTACGAGGAGTAAGCGACGTTTTGGAATAGCAGGTTATTTTGAAATTTGGCGCTACGTAGACAGCGCCAAATGACAAAATAAGCTATTTAGAAATAGCATCAAAATAAGATGCACAATTTGCGTAGCTCAAATTGCATACCTTATTTCCAGTTACGGTGCAGTGTAGATGCACCCTTTATGACTGGCAAAGGGACAAGAAAATGGAGCGACTTCTCTAGGTTCTCCAAATCCTTGTGCTGCTTTCATTTATGGACTCATGGCCATGGAATGCAAGATCTCCTATTCCACAAGGGCAACATGATTTTACCAGGGAAATGAAAAGATCCCCTTTGAACTCAGCAACCAATGTATCCCATGGAGATTTCTAGGTCTAAGGAGCTTTCCTTGTTGAGGAGGAAAGAGATTGGAGCAAGAATTGCCATGGAGAAGGCTAACCAAACAGATCACTTCTGGATCAACTTTTGTTGAAAGGAGAAGATGGGGAATGACAGATGAACCCTCTTTCCCCAGCGTACGATCATTTAACTCAACCTGGAGCCCTGGATTCACTGGAGTAGATCAGGTACAATTCCAACTCCAAGATCCAGGGCCAGGGCCAGGGCCAGGGCCAGGGCCAGGGCCAGGGCCAGGGCCAGGGCGGGCACCTCACTTGACAAAATAGGAGTTTGGTTCAGTCTCCATGAAAACGACTCAATCAGACTTATTTGCTGGGCACTTTTCTCCTCCTGCCCCAGGATGCAAGATGAAAGCATGACCTGACCCAGAAACCCCACCCCTCTGACTGGCCCACGAGGAACCCAGGATCGCCCTGGCTGTTCAGATAAGTGACTGCTGCAGAGATGCTCCTTTGAACCTGTTACCTTTTCTCTCATCAGCGAAACCAAGCACAGACACGCATTAGGCCAGTCGTAGGCCTAGCAGCTTCCTGTGCACTGTGGATCGTCTGAGTAATGCCTGGCTCACAGTCTGGGCTCCAAGACCACCTGCTAGAAGCCCCCCTCCATCTCCTGGAAGGGGGCTAAATTCTCCCCCTCCCATCCCTCGGAGTCCATGAGACACACTATCAGTGTTAGAATCTGAGCACCAGCTAGGGATGTGAAAGACTAGTCAACTATCCGATCAGCAAAAGCTTATCGGATAGTCGATACACTAGTGGACTAGTCGCTAGCCCCCTCCCCCCCCCCTATCAGAAAGAGGCAGCAAGGGGCAGGGAAGAGGAGGGGAGACTTCAGAGCAGCAGTGCTGCGTGGCGCCGGGGTCAGCTGGCCCCTGGCTCCCCGCTGTGTTTCAAAGCGGCAACGCAGTGTAGAGCCAGGGTCAGTGGGGGGAGTCCCCAGCTGGCACTCGGCTCCATGCGGCGGTGCCACTTTGAAACGCCACAGGGAGGAAGAGGCCAGCGGGGGACTCAATCAGTCCCCCACTGGCCCCCTGCTCCCCGTATCGCTTTCGCCTTTGAAGGGCATCAACAGTCCCAGAGCTGTTGCTACACTTGAAAGGCGAGGCTCCCTTACAGACTAATCGAACAGTCGATGCAAATTGACTATTTGATTAGCCTATTAATCTAAATTTAACATCCCTAGAACCAGCACAGCCAGCTTCCCTGTGTTCACGCTTAACCTTAGGGTTAAGAAGAGTGCCAAACGAATCACACCCTTGTAAGTACGGGCTCTCAGAAGCCAGTTCTTTACATACGGATCCCCCTGAGGGCTCTGATGGGATCAGCTGGCAGCCACCACTGCCCGAAGCTCCCCAAACACCCTCACTCCGGCCGTTCACACTACGGGCACTGCTCTGCACAAACCCAGGCAGCCTTCTCTGTTGAACCCGTGTCATTTCCTGCGCTGCTCACTTACTGACACATGGAAGCAAGCATCCTACATGGGTTCTGAATAGCCTTGAGAATGTAGCGTACGGATTCTACTGCCCAGAGATGCAGTACAGCTGCGCCTTCAGCACCACTTCTCTGGCCGCCCCCTCCAGGAGGCACAGACCCTATCGCTACCTACCGCAAGGAGGGCAAAGTGGAAAGGGATGGGGACTGGGTTCTGGCATGACCTCACAGGGAGAGATCACTAAGTGGTGCGTCCCACTGATCCCAAGGTTCCCTGTTAGGCCTGTAAATAGGACAACAGAAGTGATTCTAGTTCCTGCAGCAAAACTGGAACGCTCAATGGCAAAGCCTTGGCTGGGATGATGTAGTTGGGGTTGGCCCTGCCTTGAGCAAGGGGATGGACTAGATGGCCTCTAGACATCTCTTCCAGTTCTATTCTTCTAGGATTCTACAAATGGCATGTGGTGCTCGCCCTGATGCCAGGGAAAGGACCGGGAGGTATCAGAACCTGGCCATAGCTCCCAGCTGTTTGAACCCTCTGGGTGTTACAGCGAGTGCACTGCGGCAGATGTTAACCCCGTTAAGTTCGGTGTGAGCATGGGGGCTGTGACACCATCAGGCACCCAGGCGGAGACACAGAAGTAAACTCGGTCATTGAACTAGAATCAGGGATGATCAAACATCAATGTTCAGGACAGAACGGGAGACACTAAGCGCCAGGCCTCGGGCCACAGGAAATGCTGAACACGTGCTCAACTTCAGAGTCACAGGCCACCTAGCCCCGTGCTTACCTTGGCACTCGGTATCTTTCATGGCAGGCTCATATCCAGCAGCACATGTACAGGCTCCAACTGGTACCATCCACTCCCCATCTCCATTACAGTACAGCTTCAGGGGCACGGACACTTCCACAGCATTGGGGATGCAGGTCCCTGGGGCAATGACCAGAGACGTGGGCTCAGCCCCAGTTAAGGTCTCCGGAAAAACAGCAAAGCCAGCGATGGTGTTGGAGCATTTCTTATAGAAAGCACGGACAGAGATGAGGGACATGCAGGCGCCCAGGTCCTGGAAGGCCAGGTAAAAACCATTCTTGGAGAGCGGCCCAAAGCTGCGCACCTTCGTGTTCACACGGCCAGACTCCAGCTTGGAGAAACTCTCATCAGGAGCAATTGTATCCACTTTGACGTAGGGGTTTTCCATCCAGAAGGGACTAGAGGCCGAGGCAGAATCTGTATCCGATTCGTAATAGAAGAGATTGAAGGTCTCTTTGCAGGAGCCCGGGATATTGGGGATGCTGTTACAGTCCCGCACGGTGAATTTCAGCTCCACGTAGACCCGCTGGATGTCTTGGCGTTGGATGAACTGAGTACGAAGCCAGTTGTTCTGATTGGCCTCCCGCACGTTGCACACCTGGTACGTTCGGATGGGGTTCATGGCTTCGTCGTAACCGCTGACTTCCTCCCACTGCAATGAAGGAGACTGGGGGTTAGCCAGCGGGATGGGCCGACCGGAATGCTCCGAAACATGGCCCCGCCCCACAACAAACCCAAACCACATTCCAGAAGCCAGACACACAATTACCCCCCAAAGCAGCAACGCACGCACACAACCAATATCAACCCGAGGCCTGTCCCAGCCTTGCTCCCTCCTGGCCCAACTTTCCTTGTCATGCTAAAGCCCACGAGAACTTGACTCCCCTCCACGTGGTACCATGCAGTTGTGACTCCCAGCACAAGCTGTGAGCTGGTCTGGGGAACGGTGGGGATGTCACAAGGCACAGTAGAGAATCCAAAGGGGGCCCTTATCATGGGTCGTGTCCCAGTTTGACACGGACTGAGACCAGCTGCTCAACTGGGAATCCAGAGCCTTGCACAGGCTCCGAGAGGAGAACCTGAGTCTTACCCCGGTCTCTGGATGAGCGGTCCAGGCCAACTCGGAGGTCACCCACTTCGTATCCATCAGGGTTTCTGGAGGGAAAATGGAATTGAAAGAGGTGGTCAGGGTTTAGGAAAGCAGAAGGGAAATCGTTCAAAACATTTCCAGACAATGCAAAGCGACGCAGCTTGGGGAGCAGGGAGGAGAGGGGCAGAGAGAGACGGACTCCAGATTTCCCTCTGTTCTCCTGTCAAGGGGAGAGAAAAGACCCCCTCAGGAGAACTGCTAAGGAAGCCGAGCCACCACAGAAATAGGGTGGGGAATGCAGACAGCAAGAGCAGCCATCTTCCTTTCAACAACCTCGCCATGGAACCCCCCCTTGATGGGCATGAACACAACCTCCTCCTGCCCCCAAACACCTCCCCCTGCTGCTAGGGGCTGGCAGGGAGGGTAAC